CGAAACAGCTCGAAAGATGAATGATTCGCCGCTCATTATCACCCCTGACAGTAATAGTAGCGAGGATAGAGGGAGCTAACTTCTGACCAGCTTACAATAATTTTCTATTCCACACTTCTGACCTCCACTGCAGTTATCATCCTCCAGTAGCCACTAAACTACTTAGAGTTTCAACACTAAAGTTTGATCTTATAAATAGACATCATTGCATGGACAACCTACAGCAGCTTCACAAAGCGTCAACAGGCAAACATGCACAAAAATAGATGTGTCTACTCTAATAACAAAATCAAAGCGGATGTTAAGTGAAAGTGAAAGCGGAGGGAAAAAAAGTTAAACAGGAAAACATTTTTGATGCGTTAGATAATTGACGGGATGACGTGGGAGGGGTGGATGTCGGTGGGTGGGGGGTAGCTGTTTATGGGAGGGGTGGCTGTTGGTGGGAGGGGTGGCTGTTGGTGGGAGGGGTGGCTGTTGGTGGGAGGGGTGGGTGTTGGTGGGAGGGGTGGCTGTTGGTGGGAGGGGTGGCTGTTGGTGGGAGGGGTGGCTGTTGGTGGGAGGGTTGGCTGTTGGTGGGAGGGGTGGCTGTTGGTGGGAGGGGAGGTGGATGTTGGTGGGAGGGGAGGTGGATGTTGGTGGGAGGGGTGGCTGTGGGTGGGAGGGGTGGCTGTTGGTGGGAGGGGAGGTGGATGTTGGTGGGAGGGGTGGTGGATGTTGGTGGGAGGGGTGGCTGTTGGTGGGAGGGGTGGCTGTTGGTGGGAGGGGAGGTAGATGTTGGTGGGAGGGGAGGTAGATGTTGGTGGGAGGGGTGGCTGTTGGTGGGAGGGGAGGTAGATGTTGGTGGGAGGGGAGGTAGATGTTGGTGGGAGGGGAGGTAGATGTTGGTGGGAGGGGAGGTAGATGTTGGTGGGAGGGGTGGCTGTTGGTGGGAGGGGAGGTAGATGTTGGTGGGAGGGGTGGCTGTTGGTGGGAGGGGAGGTAGATGTTGGTGGGAGGGGAGGTAGATGTTGGTGGGAGGGGTGGCTGTTGGTGGGAGGGGAGGTAGATGTTGGTGGGAGGGGAGGTGGATGTTGGTGGGAGGGGTGGCTGTTGGTGGGAGGGGAGGTAGATGTTGGTGGGAGGGGAGGTGGATGTTGGTGGGAGGGTTGGCTGTTGGTGGGAGGGGAGGTAGATGTTGGTGGGAGGGTTGGCTGTTGGTGGGAGGGGCGGCTGTTGGTGGGAGGGGTGGGTGTTGGTGGGAGGGGTGGCTGTTGGTGGGAGGGGTGGCTGTTGGTGGGAGGGACGGCTGTTGGTGGGAGGGGTGGGTGTTGGTGGGAGGGGTGGCTGTTGGTGGGAGGGGTGGGTGTTGGTGGGAGGGGTGGCTGTTGGTGGGAGGGGTGGCTGTTGGTGGGAGGGGCGGCTGTTGGTGGGAGGGGTGGCTGTTGGTGGGAGGGGTGGCAGTTGGTGGGAGGGGTGGCTGTTGGTGGGAGGGGTGGGTGTTGGTGGGAGGGGTAACTGTTGGTGGGAGGTGCTGTTGGTGGGAGTTGTGGGTGTTGGTGGGTGGGGTGGCTGTTAGTGGGAGGGGTGGCTGTTTGTGAGAGGGGTGGCTGTTGGCGCCAAACTCAAACAGCAGAAGCAGATTTCTCATTACATGCAGCAGTGGGGAATTTTTACAAAGCAGAAGTGAAAGTTTGTTGGGCGTTGGCGAATGTTGGCTTTTGGATTTGGCTGACCTGACCAAGGATTAGACTGTTGGGGGAGGGAAGTGAGCGAGGTATCTGTGTTTTGTTTAGTGATTTTTTGTCGGCAAGTCCATCAATTATTGTCAGCTTTTTTAAAAACTCGATTGAATGTTGTGCACGGAATCATAAAAATACATTCAAAATCGTGAACTTTTATACTAAATGGAAGAAGCAACAGATTACATTGTAGTTTAAAAATCGATAGTTGAAAAGCTAAAAGTTGCACATAAACCCCATAACAACAGCGTTAAAATATGCGGGGAGAAAAAAACACACCAACAAGAAGCAGAGCAGCCCTTTGCTGTGAACTATATTTGATGACTTAATGGGAAAACAAGCCTTAGAGTTATCGATCTTGAATAATTGAGAGTTCAGGGCCTTTGATCAGCCGACGCCCCTTGCCGGGCAGGATGCGATAGACGTGGAACAGTGTGGAGTAGGGGGGGGGGTGAATTGTGACATTAGCGACATACAGATTCCCCGTCTCTCCTGATTCTCGGATCGATTCGATGGATTACGTGCTTGTGACAGCATTACCACGGGCTCTCACAGACTAAGGTGGATTTACATCATTGATTACACGGCTAGGGGTTGTGTTTGTGGTTCATGCAGAAGCCGATAGCTGAAGTCAACTATCAGCTCAGGTGGAGAAACGGAAACATGAATACTAAATAGTCTTACATTGGTCTTACATGTAGCGTATATTTAGGTATCATTGTAACCAGAGAAGTAGAGATTCTTAATCGAACAACCCCCCCCCCCCCCCCCACCCCGGGATAAAGTAATAGTGAAAGGATCTATGAATTGGTCCATATCAGCCCGTAGCCTTGACCACAATTCATGAACACAAGTTTTATGTTGCCCGCACTCCCTAAAACACACACTAAATTTTATTGGTTGTTGTATCGTACACGTGATCCAATCTATCGTATACGTGATCCAATATAGCGTGGATAAGATGTAACTGAAATATGGATATTTTTATGAATTGGAGGTGGGGGGGGGGGGGGGAGTTACTGATTTGATTGATTTGGGGATTGGGTGGGAAGCAACTGTTATGATGGGGAGACTAACAGTTTGGGTGATGAGATGGTAAATAGGCAACATTCTGTACCGTGGGGGAGGGGGCGTGCTGTGGGGTGGGGGTTACGGATGATTTATTCAATCCTTGAGATGGTTCTCTATGAAAGACTAATACCATTCGGAATGCTACAGGAACAGATTTGAACTTGAGCCAGTTGTGAACGGGGAAACAATTGCCAATGCAACATCTGGACTTCAATACACAGGCTGGAGCCCTACAACATTCCATCCCATAATTTCACCACGGTAGGTAAAGCTGAAGCTATTATGTACACATTAAAAAAAATAATTCAACTTTTACTAAGCTCTAGTTGTATACGATAGCTCAAGAGATATTTGCTGACATGTGTATCCAGTCTCTCAAACCATCTCATTCTCATCAGGACCTCAACTACTACCATGTGAACGTATCCAGATCTAATCAACTTCACCCCCACTCCCCAAGTCTGTCTATAACTCACCCAGATCTCACCCCTACCCCGTCCCCTGCTGCCTAGAACTCACCCCTTATCTTATCTATAAGTCATGGTATCACTCTCTCCACACCCCCATGGCCTTGTTTCCACCTGCCATAAAATAAACAGCCTGTAATGGTTTGATAACAAGACCTTCTGTTGGCTGTAAACATTTGTATGGGACTCACTCACCATTATGGCACACACCCAGGGCCGGTCATAAACCAGCACAGTAAAGGTGAGCTGCTTCATTACACTAATCATTCAAACATGCGTGTTGAGGCTAAACAATGTACCAGGCTAGGAACGTAACATAAAGAACTGGGAAAAATCCCTAAACAAAACCACTCCATTTAAAAACTAGGTACCTATATTCCACATAAAAAACTAGGAATTTCCTCATACAAATTACTGCAACTAAAGCAAGAGTTACATGGAGATAATTTGTGATTTCCATTTATTTTAACCCAATATTTGTTTAATTACTGATCAGTGCATGAACGCAAAAATGAATTACTCTGATAATTATTTTCTTTCTTTAAAATAATGAGTATAAATTTTTAAACACAGCCTCCCTCCCCCCACTCCCTTCCACAAGAAAAAAAGCATTGTGCGATGAATTTTGTCAACCATCTTGTTTAACTATTTTATACAGCAATTAAAGTTAAGATGTAAGAAAAATAATTGTAGATTGAGTTCGTATTTGCACAACTAATGATCTTTAATTTTCCTAAATCAGTTAAAGCTTTTACTTTTTATAGCTTGTAGTATGTTTTCTGAAGCTAACATCAAAGTGACAATCAAGTGAATTGCTAATTCTGTGTAATCCTTTAATGATAAAATGGGGACGTTTTCCAATCAAGAATGTCTAAATTATTTACTTTGTGGTGATTTAGGTCTGATTAACCTTACACTAGATGGTATGGGATGGTGTGGCTGGGTGGTAGAGCACATGACTGCTAACCTTAAAGTGACAAATCATGGGCTGGAGTCAAGAGGTCATCCCTTGCTCCACCCAGTCCTGTCTGATGTTAGGGAAACTAAAGGTGGCTGGACATAGTGTTGACCACAGTATCCATTTGTATGTTGAGCTCACAGAAACAGACAAACTCTACTTCATCTTCCCCATAAACATCCAGGCTGGTTTGAAACGGTAACTTTACTTTCTTATTTCAGTTTGAACATAAACATCTGCCTAGGCTGCATTCACAACAGTTAAAAAAAACATGCTAATTAAACCTGAAATTTGATGAACTGCATTTTTTTTTCCAGCTCAGCTTTATGTTATTAAATTAAATTTTTCATAATTTCAAGGTTCTTTTCTATGATTAAATTATTCATGTTGAAAAATATAGGAGTTAGAGAGATGAATTAAAATTCCTAAATATAGTTGAGTAATAACAAAATTAAGTTCAACTGAAAAGTAAATAAAATAAAGCAGAGCTGCTTGCTTGTGCTTTTGTTGAATCAAACTTGACTACACCGTAAAGCCATATATAACACATGCAGGCTCAAGCATAGTGTTTGTGTGTTTTGGACCACTTGGTGAACACTCAAGACATTAATGAGTACATAAACAGTTTTACTGCTAAACCAACAGAGAAAGTAAACAAACAAAAATGCTGAAAATGAACACAAATAAAGCTGTTATAAAATATAAAAGTGAAAGCGAAACTAAAACTAGAAACTTGGTTCCAACTACATCCAGGTTTTTAGAGTTTTTGTTTTATATTCTACGAACCTTCCACAAATCCTTCCATTCTGACCACATCGCCTTCGTTAAACAAAATTAATTACAAAAAATGGTTAAATAATGTATCATTTCCTAACTGGGAATCATTTCACTTTAAGAATAACAATTTTTCTTTTAATGAAATATATTGGTTGATAAATGTACAAAGGGGAGGTCACTCTTGAATAATTATGAGGCTGGGAAAAACAGAGTTACTGAACTTGACTTTTTAAAACTATTTAAAGCTTGAACTAAAACTATGTATTAGTACCATACATAAAATCATGCTGAAGCTTTAGTATGGACAAACCAGGCCTCCAACAATTACATTAATTGTTTTTTGTTCATTGCTTTTAGTTTTATATGTAGAATCTACTATCAAGTTTTCGGATTAAACATTTACTTTAAAATAAATATAAAAATTAATTCTATTTTTAAGCAATTTATTAAAAAAAGTAAAGGCCTACAGTGGCTACACTATTTTAATTTTAAAATTATGTAAGCAGCAATACACTGTTTTTTGACTTAATAATTAATCTGCCCTTTGAACTTTATAATGTGAATCTAAAAATAGAATATATATCTCTCAAAAGAAACATGTTTGACATTATTTACTCTTTATCAGATAAAACTTGTAAAATATGTTTAAAAATACATGTCCAAAGCTGTTAGATTGAATAAGAATTTTTAAATGGATGAATAAAATCTGGGTTAAGGGAGAGAAAAACTAAGTGAGCTGCTTGTGATAAGAGTGATGGAACTTTCAACGCCTGCTGTAAAGACAAACTTACCTCTTTCAGCTTGTGAATCTCATTCTGCAAGTCCCGGTAGCGTCCAGGCAGCTCGGATATACTCCCGCTGGGCGACCTGGCACCATTCTCCATGTCAATCCTGTACCTCCGTAGTTCCTCCAGCTCTTTTCCCATTTCATCTAACAACTGACAAAGAAAGTTGGAATTAAACCCCCGGACTTCTTAATTACGTGTAATGTTGGATGGGATTTACTCCAACACAATTAAATATTATTTTAAACTTGTTATGCACCATATATGGTGTTGACTCTGATTTCAGCCTGTTCTTCTTTTTTTTTTCCATAGCCTTTGTCCATCTAAGAACAAACAAAAAGGTAGCATTAGTCTGATTTTGGAGTTGTCTCTCCTAGAAGAGTTGCTGTCCCCAGCTATCAAGCCTCATCTGCATGAGGGTTTTTTCTGTTCAGCAACCATAACCTTAGCCGACCCAACCACGTCGACCTTGCCCAAGGTTTTGGACTGGGGACATTGTTTTAGAAACCATGAGCTTTACAACCCGACCACACAACCACACCCCACCCCCTACAAAGATTTTAAAAAATCTTAAACAATATCAAATTTTATTGATTATAATTATAGAAGTTTTGTACCAACAATAACACAATTTTAGTTTTATTAAATAATTAATTTCTAAATGAACTACTACCAACTGTGAGTCCACAGCATTGACTTTCTTACCTGACCCGTACTGTGCCTCTCTTTCTGATGTAAAACCTCTTGCTTGTGATAATCTGCCTTCAACTTTTCGTGGTCGTCATACAGAATATTATAAGTCTCTTGCCGTTCTAGTAACCTTTCTTGTATGTCCATTTTTTCCTAAATAACAAGCCAAAAGTTGTAATGAGGAAAACTTTATCTTTTTCACTAAACGATTTTGATTTGATAGATCAAAGAATCCTGTTATACAGATTTATATTAAAAGAAAATTTTTAGTTTAAACTTAATGTCAAAGAAAATAATTACCGTTCTAAGTTTAGCTATCTCTGCATGTAATCTGGGTGCTTCCTGCTTTAAAGTTTCATACTCTTGCTCTATTCTGTGTAACCTGAAAAATGTTTTGGTATTATTTTAATTGAATTTGGCATCTATTTTTTCAAAGTATACAGACATAATGTTGTACCACTGATGTCTGTGTGAATTTTCCTCACATAAGCATTTAAATATGCCAACTGAGTGATTCAATATACAAAATTCTTGAAATAGAATTAAATTCATTAGGTCTATCCAAAATACATTAAATATTTAAATAAAAAGCTCATGCAATACATGCTATATACAAATGGTAGCTGCAGTGAGGTTAGTGCAAATAGTAATAAAACAGATGCTTTATTACTAACTGCAATATATGTTGGAATTCTATGAAAGACTGTTACCTTTGTGTAATATAATCAACTTGTTCATTTTTATCTCTTTCTTGTTTGGACTGCAACAAAAGTATTAAAAAAAAATTAAGCTCTTCTACAAAAATGATAGGGTTGGCCAACTTTCCAATGTTAGATAGGATTTATATATTTTATTTTATAATACTAGCCGAAAAGATACACAAAGTTAAATAAAATAGTGCAGTATGATAGACTGGTACAAAAAAGAAATAAAGAATTAATATGAGACAAATTTTGACATGAACAAAAAATTCAAATGAAGACTACAATGACAACTTATATGTGTAAAGTTCCCTTTTAGACCTGGCAGCCCATGTGACAGGTGAAGGAGAGTTCAACTGTTTCTATAATCTTTTTGAACAATGCACAATTTACTAGAGAAGAATTTTAATTTTTGTATGATAAAAAACAATAGATATGAATGTACCATAAATTCTTGGTACTTCCTTCGCTCTTCAGACAATCTGTCTTCTGATTTCACCTCCATGTCTCGCAACTGCTCCTCTAGGTAGATGACTCTAAAAATAACATTTAGTATTGAATATAACACATGTAGGCCAATGTATGATTCTGATCAAAGGCAAAACAAAAACTATTTTTTTCAAAATGAAAACAATTTTTCTATGACACACTCGTAAAATATGTATCAATCCATACATTGATTATTCATTATAATAGAAAATAATACTAGTTTGGTTTCATACATTATCAAGCATTAAAATTTACCATAGCCTGATTTGATTGTGTTCAGGCAAAAATAAAATAACAGGATCTATGGATCTATTGCAGGTTTGAGACCAATAGGTTAAAAAAATTATTCTGTAAATTGTAACTTGGTTTCAATAAAATGTACACAAACTCACTTCTGCACTAAAATATTGTTTTCGTCTTTAAGCTTGATCTGCTTGGTGTTGGTCTCTGTCTGAACTTGTGTCAAATGCTGCAGCTGGTCTTCTAAAAACTTTAACTGGATTTTAAAGGAAAGAAATTCACCCATCAGTTAAGAATCATTACAATGTAAAGCTTAAAAATATTTAAAACTCGATGAATCCTTTTAACTGATATACACAGAGCACAGTAGTAATGTTATACTACTGTTATTAACCTAATTAATTTTTTTTAAAGAATCGTTAATTAGAAAGCTCTATGTAAATATAGCATGATATTCACCCTGCCATCAACACTCTGAAAGTTGCCTTCAATATCGTCAAATATTTCATCCGAGCCAAAACTGCTGCGTCTGGTACTAGATGGGGAGTTGCGGGCACTTCGTTGAAGTTGACTAAATGCGTGAGAGCAAGAAAACAACAAAAAATTAGATTTTAAAATGTGAAACTATCTTAATCCATTTGCTTATTTAGTCTACCTATAAGAAGACAAGCTTAACTTATTTTCCTGAATTATTTTAAAAAGTACAAAACTAAATGTAAGCAAATGTATAGAATAAATTTTAATATTTAAAATTGTGATGATAGCAAAACTGTAACTCAACCAAAAGGCAATAAAAGCATATTCACCTAGCAAGCGCTGCAGATGTAATTCTGCGGTTCGGACTGAAATACATAATTTAATAAAATTATAAATATAGAGGTTATGCTGCTTTAGTTGATCTTTTCTTACGTTTCGTTAAAAAAATGTCCAGGATCTGATTTTTTAATTTAAAAAAAAATTTGGTTTGACCATCTGTATTTTAATGCAAATTGCAGACTTTGAATTTTGTGTTCTTCATCAGCCAATTTTAAAATATGTGTAAGACTATTTTACAAAAGCTGTAATCTAGGCTTATATATTTAGCAAAATTTGACCAAAGTAATATGAATAAATACTGCAAGCCATAGAATGTATAAGATTAAAAAAAAGCATTATGAAAAATAAGCAAATTATATATTTCTGTGGCTCATATCACTGCTAGCTAAATGTTTGTTTATGAAATGACAGATACTTCAAGAATATAAAGATATATATGCCGCATAGGCCTACTGTAAAACACCAATTTTTCTGGTTTAGTAAGGGAAGTTTACTAGAGTGACAAACACAAAGAGACATATGAAATTTGTAAAGATTACAACAGTGAAAAAAACAACTAAATTTAAGAGAGACTATACATGTCTGACAAAATTAAGTATCAACTTTTTAAAATTGTTGTGGGTTCTAAAATTAACAGAATTTAAGAATTTAAGTAATTACTTTATTTTCATAAACAACTTTTATTAATAAGATTAAAAAATAAGTTCAGTGCAATGTGTTGTATATGGCATGTGTTTGTGCTGCTAATTTGCTCTATTTCTACTGTGAAGAAAGGCTTTAAAAACAAAAAGAAACAGTTGAAATGCTACAAGCAAATTAGAATATTTTAATAAGCATTACAACATTTTAGTCAGGAGATCAGAAATGTAAACATTAATTACACCATCATGATCAAATACCACTTTTATAAGAAGGGAACAAAAATATTAGTACCATGAAAAAATATTAAAAAAAAAAAAAGCTGTATCAAAGTTACGAAATGAAATCGCAGACAGAAGACAAGCAAAAAGTTGATGCACAAAGCAATGCTCCTGGCTGTGTTAGAATAAAAAGAAGCCATTTCTCAGCCCAAAAGAGAAGAAGTTTACAACAGAAAGCTAACCAAGAAGACACCAATGCAATATAAAAAGCTTATGACTACCACGATTTTTTATGGTGTCGAGAAAGGGGATCCTTTCTGTCTGATCGTTTTCTCTGTGTTGAGGGAGTTCTGTTGATGGAAGTTGTTCAGTTTTACAAAACTTTTTTTTATTTGGTGTGAATTTAAACTCTGAGCATCTTTGGTTAAACACTGTTTTTCTAAAAACAACTTCTCTTCAGAAGTAAAAGTATTTCAACATAATAAAGATAAAGCTGGAAAACAAATCTTTAACATATTTTACTTAATTTAATTGCTGAAAAGGTTTTATTCAAAACATTGTTTAGACAAAAATAAAAACAATACTGGATCAGAAACAAGAACTCAAATTGTAATTCAAAAACAATGTTAGGGCAACAAATATTATTTATTGTTTTGCAGGTGTAAATTTAACCCTTAAAGCGCGCCATGGTGGCTTACTCGTTATAAGTTATGTAACAGCATGTAATGGCTTGGCCCTCCATGGTTAAAAAAAAATGTACCACTTACAGATGACCCTGATCAGAGACATCTGCTTCTGATTCGATCTCTCCATAGTCTTCATAGTTTTCTTCATCTGTTATTTCCTGACGGCTGAAACATGGGTCACTTTTCAGTTAAAAAGTTTAAAATAACAAGAGATAGAAAAAACAAGGAAATTTTTTTATTGAAATAAGGTTAAAATGTTAAATTAAATAGCACATTTTAATGAGAAAAACTAATAGTTTAAAAGTAAACAAATAAGATTTTTTTTTCAAAATTTACAGTCAGTGTAACCTTAGTTTTAGAAACAAAGTATCAATACACTGATCTATTTATATCTTTTATCTTCAGCCAAGAATAATCATAAAACACAAGTGGTACAGAGTGTGTAAGAGTGCCTTGTGGCAAGGTCTTGTTTTTATGGGCTATTTCTGTCTCCTAACTGTGTACTGAGGCTGATCATTACAACAAATATTTTCCTATTCTAAAAATATTTGCTATGCTTTTATTTACATTTAGATCTATAAAATATGCAATTTTTATTTGCTACTTTTCCTAAAGTTGAAATAAAACAAATCAAACGGATCAGATTCTAAAGGAAAGTGAAAGATCAACAAAGATGTTATAAAAAAATGAAATAAAAGTTTTAATAGAAGGAAAAAGTTACAAAAAGACGTACCTGTTCTCATTGATTTCAGAAGATTTCCCACTTATGGCGCTATCTCCCTCATCTTCAGAGAGGTGTGGCAGCAGAAAAGGGTTTCCGTTGAGTTCAGTTTGCGGCAGGATAATGTTAGACTGGTGAGTGCTACCATTCAGGTTCAGGCCTATCCCTGAGAAGTCGTCAAACCCAGACAAGTCGTACTCAGCAAAGGTGTACTGGCTGCTGGAGGTGGAGTTAGGCTTGTGGGTCTGAAAGTACATTTATTTCATAATATTAGAACATTTCTGTGAAAATTTTATCCTAACATAACTAAAAAGTCTAAATAAAAATAGGATTAAATAATTGTTTTAATTATTTTAATATGCACTGAGCAAATGGTTGTTTCAATAAAATAGGACAAGTTAATTAGTTAGAATGTTTTCTTTAAACTGGGCCTATTGCAGGATAAAAAGCTAACATGGCTAGCCTAAAACAAAATAAAAACAATAAGTTTTATAAAAAATAACCTGGGATGATGTTTTGACTACATTTTGTTAAACAAAAATAACCAATAAATAAAGTGAAAGTCTTAAGCTTTGTAAAAATAATTTGATGCCAATTTTCTAAAACTTCAACAGTTGGATTTTTCCACAAAGGTTGAGGAAAGTAAATACAAACATGCGACATTTTGTTATCTCCCTGTAAGATGATTTTGTTGCAAGTTGGGCACAAGAAGAAAATGTTTCAAACAGCTAAAACAAGTTCATTAACACAGCAGGACATCTATCAACAAGTTTTTTTTAGACTATGTCTGGCTAGAGTTTTCTCCCCTTTACATACTGTTTGTGTTGATTATTTTCCCATCACAACCCTGTAGGCCACACAGCAGGGGAGACAATAAACCTGTACCTGCCTACCATTGTCTGACCTGTCTATCATTGCCCCAAGTTATTATATGGTGTGGTATGCCCAACATTGCCTCAAGTTATTATATGGTGTGGTATGCCTAGCATTGCCTCAAGTTATTATATGGTGTGGTATGCCTAGCATTGCCTCAAGTTATTATATGGTGTGGTATGCCTATCATTGCCTCAAGTTATTATATGGTGTGGTATGCCCAACATTGCCTCAAGTTATTATATGGTGTGGTATGCCTAGCATTGCCTCAAGTTATTATATGGTGTGGTATGCCTATCATTGCCTCAAGTTATTATATGGTGTGGTATGCCCAACATTGCCTCAAGTTATTATATGGTGTGGTATGCCTAGCATTGCCCCAAGTTATTATATGGTGTGGTATGCCTAGCATTGCCCCAAGTTATTATATGGTGTGGTGGTGACAAGAACAGAAGCTGTATTTAGTGAGGGGCTGGGTACAAAAGAGCGTTGACATTACTTTGAGTCGGTAGAGTTAACATTTTGTGTGGGTAGAAGATCTAGTATAGATATATATTCCAAAATCAGGTGCATGTGGCCTTATAATATGTGTAGAAAAACTAATCTGTCGTGAAAATTTCCACTGAAAAATAAATTGTTACAAAGAAACTAGCTAAAATTGTGACATTAATTTCTGAATAGTCAAACGATTGATTTTTTTCAGCAATATTAAAATATACGCACCCCCCCCTCCCCTCACAAAAAACAACAATACAGGGGCCGTATATTTTAGTTTGGTGGGCACACCGCTTGTCAAACGGGTACTAAGCTCGGTTGGACCTGATACCTTCCGTTGTGGTTGGTGTGACAGAGTTGTCAACAAAACCAGATCTAGATCTAGACTCTATAGATCAATGTCGGTACCGCGTTTGTTTCTAGGTGCAAGTAAATAACGTATGCAATTTTTACGTTTATTGGTCTATAAGTGCGTAGATCTACAGGAGTCAAAGGTTAAATAACAACGTTTAGACCTGAGGTACCAGAAAACAACACAAGCAGTAGATCTAGAACGAGGCTGGTAGCTAGAAATGTGTGTTTTACCTTCAGATCGCTGTCATTAGAATCCTCCGGTCGGCTTGACATCCTTATGTCAACACAAAATCGAAACAAAACGTTGAAACCTCCCTAGCAGAACCCCAGCCCTCAAACGTCCGTGCCGCCGAGGGCTACTAGTCACTTCCTGTCCACTTAAATCGTTAGCCACTTTCTCGTCGGCACGTTACGACGTATATAAGTCAACATTCGCCTACACGAGATGGTCAAATCATCAGGCTGATGTATACAACATTATAACGAAACCACAAACTTGGTAAGGTACGTCTCATCAACTTCAGGCAGCACTGATCTCTGCAGCACATCAGAATATGACGGGTTCTAATCCGTTAGCGAAAGAAAACACAACAACACGTCAGAGGAACTTTGACAGCGTTTGACGTCTGACAACACAGCACTGTGTTGGCCGCCACGACACGGCGACTATAAATAATATCACAGCCTGCAGACGTAAATAGGTGGGAACAGGTAGGGGCAGGTCGCAGAAACAGGGAAGGAAAAAAAAAACAAGTAGAAAACACGACTGTAAAGTATAGTATTATATCTGAATGTGAATCAGGAGAGGGAGGGGAGGAGGTTGATAGACGAACGCAAATTATAATCAACATACAAACATTGTTTTTATAAAGATGTGCTTGCTTTACCAGGCTAAGCTTAAGGCACCATGCCAAAACATGTTCATTGCCAGGGGAGACAAATGGAATGTGAGAAAAGGAACATTTTCGAAACCAAGGGAAACAACAAGAAAAAACTATATTTCCCCAATAGTAAGAGTTGACTTCCATTAATATTTATTACGCATTGGACATCAAAGTATAGTGAGAAGTCAAGAGACATTCATCATAACAAAAGTTAAAAAACATTACGCACGGTAACTTGAGTTTAGTAAATATCATAAGTTTTTAAATACAGGACTTGTATTTTTATTATACAAAAAGCCAGCATGGTCGGGGTTATATCAATTCATAATATCGCCAACATCCCTGGCTAAATACATGTCTGTTGCAGCTGGTCAAATAAGTCTTTGACTCCAGGTATGGCATAAGGTAAGGACTGCCCTACTCAACGTGGTGGTAGTCCTACACAACTAGGTGGTAGTCCTACACAAAGTTGGTGGTAGTCCTACACAACTAGGTGGTAGTCCTACACAAAGTTGGTGGTAGTCCTACACAAAGTTGGTGGTAGTCCTACACAAGTTGGTGGTAGTCCTACACAAGTTGGTGGTAGTCCTACACAACTAGGTGGTAGTCCTACACAACTAGGTGGTAGTCCTACACAAGTTGGTGGTAGTCCTACACAAAGTTGGTGGTAGTCCTACACAAGTTGGTGGTAGTCCTACACAAGTTGGTGGTAGTCCTACACAACTAGGTGGTAGTTCTACACAAGTTGGTGGTAGTCCTACAAAAGTTGGTGGTAGTCCTACACAAAGTTGGTGGTAGTCCTACACAACTTGGTGGTAGTCCTACACAACTTGGTGGTAGTCCTACACAACTTGGTGGTAGTCCTACACAACTTGGTGGTAGTCCTACACAACTTGGTGGTAGTCCTACACAACTTGGTGGTAGTCCTACACAAGTTGTGGTAGTCCTACACAAGTTGGTGGTAGTCATACACAACTAGGTGGTAGCCCTACACAAGTTGGTGGTAGTCCTACACAAGTTGGTGGTAGTCGTACACAAGTTGGTGGTACTCCTACACAAAGTAGGTGCCTAGAGACAACACACAACTAGACATTAGTCTGAGAGACACAGCAGGATATTCCAGACAACCGGATATGTCAGAGAAATGCCAAGACATTAAAACATGAAAACTGCTCAATCGAATCTGCCCCCCCCCCCCACCTCTCCTGTTAATTCAAAACAAAAACACGAACAGTTTTCTGGTCTAGTGCTACTGTGGCCAGTATCTCGTCCTGATATTATACCAGGCAGGTAAGTCGAATTTACCCCCCCCCCCCCCCCCCACAAACATCCAGATCCAATTAAAATGATGTCAAAAGCTCCACAGTCAACCTCTCTCAATATAAGTACAATTTCAACGACGAAAACTAACAAAAGATATTTTAATTTCGTTTTTTTACGCCTGTACTCAGGCAACCAATCGTCACTCAGTCTTCAACTACCTCACACATCGGTACGTGACATTATTTATGTTAGGTACACATGTTAACTAGCTGGGACTGCTACACACCAGCCGATCCTGCTTACAACACCAACCCATCCTAACACCAACCTCCTAACACCAGCCACCCCTCATCAAACACCAACTCATTCTACTTACAACTCTATCCTTCCTCACAGCTCGTCTATACAGAAGGTTGTCAAACTATCCCAACATTCCCCGCATCTGTGTTAGTTATCCCATGGTTACTAACATCATACGATACCTACCCCCCACCCCCATCCCATGGCTACTAAAATCATACGATACCACCCCCACCCCCATCCCATGGTTACTAACATCATATGATACCCCCCGTCACACCCACGTGAATGACCTTTCAACTGAATGTCAGCCCGTTTATGGACAAAGAAATCAATCAGTTATTAGCCCGAGGTAGTTTCATACTTCTCGCTGACCACTCATTTCACGTGACGAACAATTCGAAATCTGTTGCTTGGATCACTTGCAGTCAAACCTGTACAAGAGTCGTAGTTGGTTGCAGTTCTCACGTCTGATCTAACTCTCGCTTTCGCTAGCTCTAAGCGCCTAGAAACTTATGATGGCTTCATATGTAGCTCATTCTAACCATACACCGTCAATTGATCGATTTCTGTCGGCCTATCGATCAGACGAAGTAATCGACTACTCACCAAGAGCCTAGACACAACAAAAACGCGTGGCGAGTGAGAAGAATCGGATTGAACGAGAAATCAGGTCAGCGATACGCCATCGGCCAGGCTCGAGACGCGAGGTCGGAATGTTATTGATGGCCGAGGGAGGTTCTCATGACAACATGGCCAGCTGTCGCCGCGGCCAGATTCGAACTCATCACATTCTTTATAGACCCCACCCCCGGGCCGAAACTGGAATGTTATGTTATTTCTCTAAGCTCAATAAAAATCACAAGCGTCGTTTCGACAAAACTAGCAGATAAGAGACAGTGAACGACTAAGTTAGATAAAGAAAACTAAAAAAAAAAATGTAAACACAATTTTAGACTATATCTATTATAGCCACCCCCCCATTACCCACATAGTGATTACAAGGGAAACAGTTTTAAACATACAGTTGCAGCTGGTATAATTTGGAGGACGTAGTAAACAATCAACTAATTAGTACCTGCCTTAAATTACACCATCACGCGGTGACACGAATATTGCAATGTTTACATAACAGCCGTCATTAATTAGAGAACACAAATTATGGGATAGATCACTGATAATTTGTGAGCTAAATAATAATTTAGTCAGGAGACGTCGCAACCTTTCCTTGTTTGTGGACATTTGAGGACGGGAAAATCTTTTCATTTGGGGGTCTGAGGGATCCATGCATTTGGGGGTCAGGCGGATTCTTGCGTTTGGGGGTCAGATGGATCTCTGCATTTGGGGATTAGAGGGATCCCTGCATTTTGGGGTCAGGCGGATTCTTGCGTTTGGGGGTCAGATGGATCTCTGCATTTGGGGATTAGAGGGATCCCTGCATTTTGGGGTCAGGAAGACCCCTTAACAGCGAGAGACCCGATCTCCTAACATTCCCCTAGAGAGGTCCCATTTGACAAGCGTACTCAGTCTAAACAATTGATGCCCTGTTCTAATCGATAGAAAACTGTGCTTTGATAGGTTATTGATCGGTTATTGATTTCTTGAACAGAATATTTTTTGTTATTTTGAATATTGTTTTAGAAATAGTTTTTTTCCTTCTGATTACAGAAGATGCAAACACAGTACAATACATTAATGCTGGCAGCCAGCTATTAAAGTGGTCAGCTATAAGTTGGTCAAACATCAATTTATGGCCAGCTATAAGGTGTGGTCAAACATCAAGTTATGGCCAGTTATAAGTCTGAGGCCAACCACCCCAAATCTCATGTGACAGAGTGGACTAAGGATGGGCTAGGAAACGACTAATAACTACTTTTTTGATAGCACATGTAGCACTGGCTACTAAATGTAGCAAAATTTTCAAACATAATCCACACAGATGATATACTTACCCCTCCAAATTACGAAGTTACGTGAATACAATGTTACATAGCTGCTCTATAGTCACGATAACTGTTGTATTGGCGTAAGACAAAAGACAAAACTCCCAATTGAGCGAATCAATAACTTGATAATTAATCGATAACAAAATCCTGCAGGGTGCTGGCCAGGAGAGCTAGGGCTCACTGTCACAGGTGATGGTACAGGAAATAAACCCTGCAGCTCTGGCAGAAGAGGTCGGAGGTGAGGCCAAGAGAGACCCACACATCACACCACTCACACACGCAAGCCCCACACACCACGATTCCCATCAACCACCACCCACCACTATCATCCACGCTTCTGGTTAACGAACCAATGAAACCAATCAATCGATGCAGCTGATCAATAATGGATCCAACCCATTGTTACTGAAAATGTCCTTCTGGCTATAAGTAGCTTCAGGGCTTTAAACTTTACCGTGTTGTTTAAAAACTGCAAAACTGTACACATTTTTCATATCATCAACTTTTTAAAACTAGAAACCTGATACATATCTACTCTTGTGAATGTCAATCTTTATAATTTTATATTGGTACTCAAGTCAATATTTTGTCAAAAGATATTTGAAACGTCAACAGCAAGCTAGGACTAGAAGTTTAGGTCTAACAAACTCATCCAATTCTGTCTATCTAATGTTTTTTTAAATTCAGTGTTATCACATAGATCGCTAGATAACAGATCGATTGAGTAGAAATACTGATCGAAGCACTCGTTGATTGACACGATTACTGGGCGACCTTGAGAGATCGAATAGATCAAGATAAGATTATTGGGAGAAGTTCAGGTGAAAGTAGAGATCAAATATTGCCCAGGTGTTGCTTGGATTGAAAATTATTTTAAGACGAATTCATACAGGTGAATAAACGAAGTGATGATACAGATGTCTAAATTATGTGTTTGTTATTGACAGTGATATCTGAACACACATGTGTCAATAAAACGTGACAATACATGTGTTTTAGTGATGTGTTGATAAAAGTGCTCTAAACTTGCAAATAAGTTTCAGTATACTTTTCTTCAGTGTAAAGTACATAACGTCAACGGATGACATGCAACATCACCTGAACTAAGCATACCTCTGGTGTTATCTACATTTTATATAGTTAAGTATTTTTATTGCAGAGACAAGGCAATATAGATAACATATGGACTTAGCTATAACGGAGAACATAATTTATTTTAGATAAGACCCAGATCTACCTCTACCACAGAAAAGACCTAGCTCACCATAAAAAATACCTCTAGTATAGAAAAGACGTACCTTTACATGGCTCTTCTGTCATAGAAAAGCTCTAGTATAGAAAAGACCTACCTATGCCATACCACTGCTCTAGAAAAGATCTACCCATACCATACCACTACTCTAGAAAAGACCAGAGTTTCTTCCAGGCATCTCTTTCCGAACGAAATGAAATTTATATAATTTATATAGAAAATATATACTTTTAACAGTGTCCGCCCCCCCCCCCCCCCGAAGAAAGTCTACCCCCCCCCCCCCCCGAAAATTTCAAGTGCCCCCCCCCCCCCCCAAAGAAAAAAGTCTGGAAGAAACACTGGAAAAGACCTACCAATGCCATACCAGTGCTATAGGAAAGACCTACCTATGCCCTACCAGTGCTATAGAAAAGACCTACCCATGCCGTACCAGTGCTCTAAAAAAGACCTATCCATGCCGTACCAGTGCTCTAGAAAAGACCTACCTCTAACACCGAAAGGTCCCCAGCGATGTCTAAAGGGACGAGCGTGTCTTCACTGACTAAGGTCTCCTGACTGACACTGCTCTTAAAGGTCCTGGCAGCTGCAAGAAGAACATGTGTTTGACAGATGACAGATGATGTACCAGTTTTTGTGGCATGATGGATGACAGACAGTATAGATGACAGATGATGTACCAGTTTTTGTGGCATGATGGATGACAGACAGTATAGATGACAGATGATGTACCAGTTGTTGTGACATGATAGATGACAGATGATGTACCAGTGGTTGTGACATAATGGATGACAGACAGTATAGATGACAGATGATGTACCAGTTGTTGTGACATAATGAATGACAGACAGTACAGATGACAGATGATGCAGCAAAAAAAAAACATTTTCTTACAGATGGCAGATAATATGGATGTAATTTTCGACAGATAACACAATGTAGAAAATATACACTATGACAGACACTAGACATGTTTAAACTTTGAGGTGTGACAAGAGAATGGTTACATGTAACAAAAATTGTATCTGACTGACAGTTTACAAAGCAGATGGAGAATAGACTGACAGACAGACAGACAAGCTGACAGCCAGCTATGCCAGATGACAGACACATCTATGACAGATGACTGACACATCTATGACAGATGACAATCAATGACAGATGACAGACAATCAATGACAGATGACAGACAATCAATGACAGATGACTGACACATCTATGACAGATGACTGACACATTTATGACAGATGGCAGACAATTAATGACAGATGACTGACCTTGTTGCTGTATCTCAATTATCTGCTGTATTCCCTCACAAAAATCTGCGTAGCTAATTAGTCCACGCCCCTCTGGGTCAAGTAAATTTATAATTCCTGTTAATTCCTGTCAGAACAAAAACAATTATAGGATTAGTTACAGAAGAACAGACATTATTCTACTTTTCTGACATTTAAATATAATAAAAGCAATCGTTGTTTATAAAATGAATTGACTTGTGAGGTGGGTGAAGATTAAAATGGACAAACATTTCTCGGTGCCCGACATTTGGAATGTTTCTCTCTATAGAAGTAAGTCGTATGGTGGCGTGTTGTCTTTGGGAAATCAATAGCAATCAAGGGCAGGAGAATAATTAAAACCGTAGGACTGGGTTTGGTAGTGTCGGGATTTACGTTAGGTTGACAATGTAGGGGTGGGTGGTGTGTGTGTGTGGGGGGGGGGGGGGGGAGTCTAAATAAATCATGGTCATGCCAAGAAAGTGGGTCTAAATTAAGATGGTCAAGCCAACAAATTGGGTCTAAATTAAGATGGTCAAGTCAAGAAAGTGGGTCTAAATTAAGATGGTCAAGCCAACAAATTGGGTCTAAATTAAGATGGTCAAGCCAACAAATTGGGTCTAAATTAAGATGGTCAAGCCAAGAAAGATGATCAAAACACGCAGAAGATCGGTTATAATCGTAGGTAGTTGGTCAAACATAATTTCTCTTTAGCAGCCCACCAAAATGACCAAACGGGCCTACTTATGCTGGTTCTGAAAGCAGTTAACATTTGCTAACAAATCAAACACTACAGAGAATCCAGTTAGTATCTATACTGAGAGTGTAGTCTGTGAAATCTTGGTGGGGCGAGATTCAACTTCGATACAACAGTACATTAAACACGCAGGGGAAAACTGGGAATGTTCAGATTCCTGAAACAGCCATATCTCATCTACACCGACACGTTACTTCTGTAACATGCATATTTATCAGCCCTCTTACAATATATCAACATTGAATTTAAACTCCCACATTCAAGCAATTAAGAGCTAGCAGTACAAAAACACGGACTACAACACGCTCCCGTTTTGTAAATTGTTACGAGCATTAGCTGAGTTAGTCAGCAAAGGGCAGTTCCCGCTAATGCGATTAGCCTAAACCCCTGGTCAAATATCCCAATCAAATACTCGGGGCACTAGGTCACGTACATGACAGGTATTCTCACCTGCAACACCACAGGTGCTGGTTACCTGAGGTCACGTGTCTCCCGGTGGAATTCAGAGTGCAATTACGTCACTGTGATAGGAAAATGATCAATTTGACTCGACTTTGTGGAGGGAGAGGGGGTGAGGGGGTGCAGCCTGAATTGACCTGCTAGACATAACTGGAGAGTGGCACATCACCAAACGAGGTGAGGTAAGAGAACAAGTCTCCCATATTTCTCATGTTATTGTATCATCCCCCCCCCCCCCCGCCTGAAACATGGCCGTTACACTCGCTAGCAACAGCAAAGAAGACGAGCAAGCTTGTGGCACTAGGTGGACGGAGGGTGTGGACTGCGGACCCCTCACTCACAAGTCGCCAGATACCTCACCCTCCCTGTGTCAACGGCAGGGACAATCAGTAAGACGGAATGTGACGGTACGCAAGGTCTGGGGGCCCAAGACTTTCTACAATGTACAAACTAGAGCTAATGGTCTCACACCTAGTTTTGTTTGATCTACGTCATCAACACGCCTCTCATCTACGTCATCAACGCAGCATTCTTCTACGTCATCAACACGCCTCTCATCTACGTCACCAAATACAGCACAGTTAGCATGTTGACATGGTGTGCTCTGAGTATTACAAATGTAGCAGGTTACACCGTCCTTACGTTCGCAGGTTCTGCCCCCCCCCCCCCCCCCCCAGACTGACTCCTACCTGCGGGGATCAAAGCCCACCACGTGTTGTTTAAACATGGCGGCGGCCAGTCCCAGAAGGGCATCATGGGAAATCAGACAAACACGGCCATGTTTGTACACCACTGACTGGCCACGGCAGATTTCAATGTACGGCCATTTGACATGGCCATTAGTTTCACACGGCAATCATACTTTCACACGGCAATCATACTTTCACACGACAATCATAATTTTACACGACAATCATAATTTTACACGACAATCATAGTTTCACACGGCAATCATACTTTCACACGACAATCATATTTTTACACGGCAATAATATTTTCACGCGGCAATCATATTTTCACACGGCAATCATATTTTCACACGGCAATCATATTCTCATATGAAATTATGTTTTCATTCGGCTATCATATACAATTATATTGATATTAATGCATTAATATCTGCTTAAAAAACACCAATTAAATGACGGAGTGTAATTACAGTCCCAACCCTAGTCATGGCATGTTTGATGAATGAAAGCCATTAACGTATATCGCGATGTCTGGCTTGGTCAGCCTTCAGAGGTAGACAAAAAGGGGTGGTTGTGGTTGTGGTGTATGTTGCTTATGGTGGACAGAACACCGCATACACACCCCATGATATTAGCCAACCACTCACGAGTTTACACAATTCGCCAACCCTTCTTCAACCACTCTCGCCCCCTCTCCAATATTACTCCACC